CCATCACACAAGGGTCTTAAGAGAGGAACAGCACACCCCTAACAGCGATAGCTGAGCGGTTGCATTGCTTTACAAAGCAACAATCTGCTCCCAGGGCTGCAAAGAGCCACTTGGTGCCTGACCTCCTCACTCTTCCCGTCAGGGAGCCGGGTTCCTGCCGCAGAGAGCTGCGATGGACCTCATTAGTGTTTAATTAAACAGCAAGGGAAGCAAGGAGGTAGAGAGACCCCTTTTAATTGTGTACCATGTGCCCAGCTGGCAGGGAAGCTAATCAGGAGGGGATTTGTTCCTGGGATCTAGTCGGGAAGGGCTATCCTGGTGAGACCATTTCCACCAGGACTGGGAATGCACCAAACATCAAGCAAGAGCCTTTCCTGCACTGCAGGGAGGATTTAACCAAGAATCTCACGCAACATGAAGATCCCACCCTCCAAGGGGGAAATTTGCCCAGCAGTCCTTACCAGCCCTTTGGCTCCTCTCCCCATGGCAGATGGGTCCCCTGGCAYCCGCTGCCCAGTCTGCTGCCAGCCTTGGGACACCCCTGGCCTAGGAAAGCGTGTCCTACTGAGAAGTTATTTCTGGGCCGAGCCTGGCCATAGCGGCACCCACGGGAGGAGCGGGTCATCCTTTCCTCCCTCCACGACATGCCAGCGCCATCCAGGAGGTTCAACTGCATGTCCAAGGGCTGCCTGGTGGAGCAGGGCCCACAGCCGAGAGCTGCGACAGGTTCTCCCTGCCCCTGCAGAGCTCAGCAGGGCTACGGAGGCTCCTGGAGCAAAGGGTTTACGGAACGCCCTTACTCCTGGGACCACACAGGGATGTGCCTGGCCACCGGCCCACCAAAACCAATCTCTACACTTACACCCATTAGCAGCCACTTAAGAGGCACCCCGTGCAGCAAGAGATGGTCAAGGGAATGGTTGCACACAGTAACTGCAGGCTCTTGGCCGCGCTCTAGGGATTTTATGGGAAGTGCAGCAATCGCCCCGGGTCCCCGCGCCGGCTCCGAGACCCAGCACCCAGCCCCAGCCGCCCCGCACGCTGGGCGAGCCGCGTGCCGCGAGCTCTGCCGCTGCGCCGGCCGCGCTCCCGCCGTGCCCTCCAGCCCATGGCCGGGGGCGGGGGTAATTAGCAAGCCCAGCTGCCACCCAGCTTTGATGAGAAGCCTCAGCCTCTCTAGTCCATGCGCAAGGTATAATTTTGATGTTGGAAATAGCCTCTACAAAGCGCATGTGGTTGCTGCATCCCAGTGACCTCTCCCGTCTTGCGCAAGCGGCTCTGCCTCAAACGCTGCTGCATCTCTACCAGCTCTACAAAGGCTTCGGTGTCATCAAACGGGTGACACAGCTGCAGCAACCAAATGAGAGGTAACATGTGGCTGCTACTAAATAAATTGTAATTTTGGCCAACATCGCACTACAGCCTGTGTATATTCTGGGCRGGAGGAGCGTGCAGAGAAATGAGTATTCGGGTGCAGAAACCAGGGATGCAGAAAACCTCGGTAAGTCATCGCGTCTGGTGGAGCAGAGCACGCGGGTTAGTCAGCGGCTGAACAGGCTTTGGAGCACAGGCCAACAGTTCATCAACAAGTCATGCAGAGGCTGAGAGGCAGCGCGGCTCACGCCACGCTCGCACAAACCAAGCACAAACCAAGCGAGCGGGTCTCCTCCAGCCACCCCGCACCCAGGGCAAAATGCCTCGGACTGATGCCTCTAATGCCAAAAGKGTCCACAAAACAGTGTGGAGAAGCCATCCCTCCCTCTGCAAGGCCTCCTGCAGCAACAGAGAACAAGTCTCAGTCTCACCGAGCAGACCTAGCGGGGCTTCCGGCCAGCTCTCCTGAGCTAGCTCTGTCTCCATCCCTGGGATCATCTCTCCCCAAGGAGTCAATTTGTAGAATGCACCAAGTGACTGTCACCCTTGGAGAAGGTTTTACCTGTGTGGGTCACAAGCAAGAAGGATCTGGACCAGAAGTCGGAGCCCTGATACGCATCCAGGGTCAAGCACACTCAGCCTTGGCTCTGCCCCGGATGCAGATGAGGAGACAGCGCAACCTCCTCTCTGCTATCAAATCACTCCCTCCTCTGCGCATCTCCAAGCTCCACTCAGCATGTCCACCACAGAGACCATCAGAGACGTGCCAGGTCATGGTAGGCTTGGTTAAGTCTGGGAATCAATGTTGAAACTCAATGGCACAACAAGCAGCTCAGTCTGCAACCCTGTATAAGAAAAGATCATTTAAATGGGGCCAAGTTCCTGATCTCTCCACCCCAGATGTTGTCCTCATCTGACYCTCGACAGATAATCCCCAGTGCCACTACAGGTAGCCCAACAGTCTCCAAATGTTGGAAAATCAGCTAGCAAACATGCCAACACAGGTGGTTCACAACATCAACCTGGCAGCATTCAACCCTCACAAGCCAGGTCACSCAGGCTCCGTACGGCAAGTGCAGCCCAAGGTTCAGTGGTGCTCAGCACTTCCCAAGGGGAACAGGAGCACGGAGGCTCCTATGCAGAGCCCCTGCCTGCAGCGGGACACCAAGAACCAGCCCAGAAACCAAAGCAGATGTCGGGGGCACTTCCACAAGCTGTGGTCTTACTAAGCTTGCACACAAGGCACTCTCCTGAGGCCACTGCCACAAACCAGGAATCTCTCCGAGTGTCCAGTCCTGTATCTGCCTTGAGGCTGCAAGTTTGTCTCCTGGGATGCTGGGGAAATCCTTCTGTCTCACAACAAAGCAAGAATGGGGACACCAAGATCCGCCTCAGGATGGGGACGCCAGGCAGCAGCACCGTGGGTGGTGACCGAATTAGTCCTATAAATGACAAATCCATCAGCAATCCCCCCGTGCTCACTGCTCCAACGGTATCTGGCATTCTCTCAACATCGGGGATGAGGGTGGACATCCCCAGGGGCAGGACTGAGGTCTCTCTGCACGGTGGCTTTTGCAGCCAGGCGGGCTCAGCAAGCATGGCTTTCCACGACATGCACACCACCCAAATGAGCCTCGCCAAYGGGCTCCTACCGTGGGCGACCTTCCCTCGCTCCCAACAACAGGGCYCCCCAACGCGATTTCACCAACCTCCCCGCTCACCACACATCCCAAGACAATATCTCCAGCTCTGCAAGCCTGGGAGATGTTCCTGCTACGCTGCASCTGCAAAGGGGGCTCCCTGTGAAGACGAGGGCTTCTCCAGGACTCAAAGAGAGAYGGGGCACAACACGCCTGGGCTCCCAGCTTTCAATTCTCATCAGGGCTGCCCAGGGCAGGCTCATTTGCCGTCATCTCAAGCCAGTTTKCAGGAATGAACAGAGCTTTTCATTGCCACAGGTCCCCTGCTGTCCTCACCCGGCCGAGCCCATTGGAGCCTCTCTGCGCTGCCGCGTGGGGCTGCAGGGAGAAGGAGCTTCGGCAGTAAGCAGGAGGCTCTCAACACCTCGGCAATACCCTGGCAGATGCTGCCTTGGTTTCCTAGARATCAGCTCAGCCTTGAGCCTAGGCAGGTTGCATCCAGCGGTGGCCACGATGCAAATGCCACACATGCCTGCACCAAGATGCCCACGCGGATCAGCAATGCCAGACCCAACGTGTGCCCGGGAGGCCAGTACCTGCTGCCCCAAAGAGAAACTCATGCAGTACCGCTTGGCCACGCGGCTCGTCCTTCCCAGGCACAGGGGTCAAATGTGACAGACCAGCAAGACCTACCCAGCCCTGGGCTCCCACCAGCCCTGCAGCAGCGTTCTTGGAGAACGGAGGAACAGGCCTCCCTTTCTCAGCCAGAAGCTGCACCCAAGACACCGGAGGAGCTTTTCCTCGCGGAGGAGTCTGCGTACCAGCCCACTGGGCGCTTTTCCCCCTCAGCCACCATGCAGGACTGGCACATCGTCCCCAAGGTCAGGCTCTAGGACAGCTCTCATCACAACGAGCAAGTGCCACATCCAGCTGAGACGGGAGGAGAAACTCCATGTTTGGTGGTTCAATTTTGAAAACGGAGAGGACCAAAAACACGATGGGAAGGAAAAATCACAACCCGCAATTCCTTCTTGCGGGAAGGATGGGGAAGAGCCCAGGAAGAGGCCGTGCTCTGTCCCACTGGCCCTTGAGCGAGTGTTTTCTCTCCCCTTCGTGGGCAGCCCTATCCRTGGTGCAAGTTGTCCCTGGCATCGCGCTCCGCACCTCTGCAACACCAGAGCGGCCGGCGCRGGGGCCACCCCAGCACCGCGCAGCCTCTGGATGCAGCCTTGGCTGCACCTCTCCAGGCCATGTTCCCAAAGCCTCGCAGAAGCCCAGCACCATTTCCTAATGCCACAAATGCCATAACGGAGATTTCCCTCTGAACCCTGGCCCAGGACCATCTTGGCTCTGTGCAYGCGCCAAGCGGACGGACTTCAAGGATCGCTTGGCCACGGCGAGCTCCAGGCCTCGCGGGCGCCCTGTCCACCCTGCCGCCAACCCAGCTGTGCCTCGGCTGAGGCAGGGAACGGAGGACACGCAGACCTAAAATCACCCCAACCTCATGCGAATCGACGGGTAGAGGCTTCTGGCTACCCTCTGCACCGCCATCCACGCTGCTGCTTTGCCGGCCGGAGGAGCACGGCACAAGGACGTGACGATGAGCGCGGTTCGGGCAAGCAGGCGACGTGCATCTTGCCCAGGGGGAGCGGGACAGAATCACACCCTGCTTCATCACGAGGAGGCTGCATCCCAGATCCACCACGGCAGCCGCTCTTTCCACCTCCCTCCGTTTAGACCAGCACAGTCGTGCCCCGCGTCCCTGGCRTGGAAGCCAAACGGCGGCTTCGCCGGCAGGGAGGCGCGATGCCGGGCGAGGGGCTGGGCGCCTCGCCTCAGGCGGGAGCCACTAGCTCGTGGCCATCCGCAGCGGAGGCCGGCGAGGCCTCCACGCAGGGCAAGGCTGCAGAGGGACCCGGGCGCCGGCTCGTGCTGCAGCACAGGGGGACGGCGGCGCGGGGCCCCTCTCCCCCGGCCCGCACTCACCCAGCATCTGGCTGAAGAGGAGCTGCTCCAGGTCGCCCAGCACGGTCACCACGAGCTCGGGGTCCACCTTGAGGTAGGGCTTCTCCTCGGCGCCCGGCGCCGCCGCCTTGCCCTTGCCGCACAGCAGCTCGTCGTCGCACTTGCCGCCGTCGCCGCCGCCGCCGCCCGCCTCGGGCGCCTTGCTGAGCGGCTTCACCTCGGCGTAGGGCCCGCGGGGGATGCGGCTCGGCTTCCCCGCGGCGGCCGCGGCCGGCG